TTTTTTTTTTTTTTTCTTTTTTCTTTATCTGTTTCTTTATCCATTTATTTCATTTTTTATTTTATAAAATTTTATTGCACCGTTTACACACGTCACAGGTTTTTGTTCGTATAAGGTATGAGATTATCTTAGATTTTGTCACCAAATATCTCCAAAACTAAAAGCCATATCACAGAAATTAAGGGACTGTCTGTCTGCATATATGCTAAAAAATATATTTGTGTATAGAAATTGACACTACAGACCCCCAGTATCGAGCATTTGAACAGGTCTCTGAGGGGGGAAGGGGTATGTACCGGTACCCACCACCTTAATTCATAAAATCAGGTCCCTATTTTGGACCATTATTTTGATCTCACCCCTAAATAGAACTTCTTAATCGATACCCTTAAAAAAACACTGGACTGAGTCAGCAAGTCTAGCTCCTGAAATAGTAGAAGTAAATTGGAATAAGTTGCGGGTTATTTTTAATTTTTGCAGGAGAAAAACCTTTGACTAACAAACCCTTACTGAGTCACTTATCAAGACGCACGTGTAATAATTTACAAACACCCCCTCCCCCTCCCCCTCTCTACATCTAGCTTTCCCAATCTTTTACCCTATCGATGCGATTTAACGTCAATATCCAGCTGATCATAGTGGCTTAGAAACGACGTCTGCACTGCAAAACTATAGAGTAAAAATTGACCAGCTAAAAATCAAAACATGTTCGATGCAATGAAAATATTGATGGTTTTCACGGCGGCCATGTTGGAGGAACTTAACAAAAGAATTGTCAATGAATTCTTTTGTTATATCCTCCAACATGGCCGCCGTGTCTTTTGTTATTTCATTCTCTTGGGAATGGTTGAAAACCATCAATAGAACTCATGGCCGGGATTATTGTGTCACGGTTATCACGCATGAGCTAGCGACATTATTTTTGATGGCCTGGATAGCAGCAGTAAGGGGGACTCGCGGTCAATGTCAAAGATTTACGGGTTTTACAGGCGGTCTAAGGAACGGGTCGGCAGCGGGAATAAGCCGCGCGACAAGTCCTTACTGCTGCTGTGTTGGGAATCAAAGATTAGAAGAGTGTATGGATTGTCC